CTGTTATGTTTCGGATCATGCAGATCCAATGCAATTTCAAATCAATTGAAACATACTTGATTTGATAAAATATTTTTCATTTGTATAGCTTTTACTCTTTTATGTTAAATATTATAAATTAGTGTAAAATGTCATTATAATAAATTCAAAGACACATTCAATTGTGTCATGAGATTGTAGAGACCAATGATATGTCAGATAGGCCCGAAATACAGGAGTTTTAAGATATATGTATGTGGGTTTAGCATATACTAAAAATACATGATCTAACTAAAACGTGACAAGGTAAAATCACATAATTATCACAATACAGAGATTTCATTTCTGTGACATTTCTTTTAATTCAACAAAAGGGAATAAATTAGCATGAAACAATTCACTCAGACAAAAATTTCATACGTGAATAACATCATAAATCAAATTAATTTAAGAAAGTTATTTTTTAGATCTAAGGCAACAATGATAAACTTATCACACTACCATTTGATACATGAAAAAAGCTTGTGTTTTGCATTTCACCATTTATGACTGTTTATAACAACTATTTTAATTTGGCGAAATATGTTAGGAAATAGCTCATTGTTAGTGGTTGCTCAGTTGCTACAACTTAAATTATGTAGCGGTTAGTCGGCAAGATGTCCTCTATACATTATCATGTCTTGACACCACATTCAAGCAAATTATTAAATTTACAAATCAAAGTGCTTCCAGGTGTGTACTACAGTTTAAACATTGTTAATGCAACACAGTTTGTATTTTAAATACTTTGTCAACTATTTTGTTTTTTGGCTAAAAGTGATGAAATAAATTCAAAATACATGTATTTAAAGCTCGATTCAAACTTTTGCTCTGACCTACAGATCACCGATATCTCAGTAATAAGCGTAACGGCTTATTGCACTAAAATTTGGGTTTAGATCTCTGCAAGTGGATCATTGCATAGCGTTGCAAACACCTAACAACAACCTACAGATCAATTGGTAACTATAAAAGCATACATTGCCATCTCTTGACTTATTTGAAAACTAGAGTGAGTTTAAAACATGTTTAGTCTTACTTTTACTTATTAAATATTTTTTAGTCTGCTGTCAAGATATACAACGTCGGCTGAATATTGAAGGTGCGGAGATTTCCTTTGGATATAGTTCTTCACGCTATCTGTCAGCTGAAGAAGAACGTTTCTGATAGGACAGTTTTCTGGAATTTTCTTAGCAAGCTCTTGACTAAAGATATAGTACCTTATAAAACATTGAATAAAAAAGTTTTATTACATTAAACTGTACTGAACATATTAGCAATGTCAAGAACGTTCGATGTTTACGTTAAATTCGTGACAAACATCAAGTTTATTATTTTAGCTTAAGAGATTTAAAAACAAAACTAAACAGAAGTGAAATTCGAAACCTGAATGACACCTTATGCACACAAAACTTAATAAATATTTCATTTATCTTTACTTGAAGAGATAGTCTTGTCTAAATGTTGTAAAAATGAGATTATTGAATCAGCATCCTTTCTCAATTGCATTTATATTATTTTTTTAATATTAAGTATTTGCTATTAAATTGCAAGCAAATAGAGATAATTGTATTCGGTTCTATTAAATGTATGGTAAGGTTAAGTTGTTCAGAAAAATATGGACTGCAGTACTTTCAGAATCGCCTCATACATACTACAATAATAATAAAATTCAACAAATATTTAAAAAGGAACTTAATATTAAGTCAAATTTTAGCGATAACAATGTTAGAAAATGTTCAAAAAAGCGACTAAATTCAACTCTATTTAAGAAAGTGTGATTAAACGTTACCTTATTGCATATTCAACATAGGCCATGTGAGTAAGGATGTACTGACCTTCCAAAAATAGGAAGATCGCCTGGTCTCACATAACTCCTGTTGATGTTAAGCATTATGTAATTTCTAGATGTATGGCCCCCCAAAAAAGTGGATATGTCCATTTCCTGAAATTTACGCAATATGTTCCCAATATCAGAAATTTCTATGTTAAAAAAAAACTGCCTTCAGCAGCAAGCATTTAAAAGACTGTACAATATATCAAAGAAAACAAATGTTCATAGCTTTAAGTATCATAAACACAGACTTTTTTCATTGATGAACCAAAAGTGTCCTTCGGTCTTGTACAACATAATAAAACATTCCATTAATTTTGGGTTATCTTATAGTCTTTATAGTTAGATTATAATTAGTAGAACAGAATCAATGAGGTGAAATGAAAATTTAATTTAAAGTTATTTCTACGAAACAGTGGAAAGGAAGAGATATACCAAAGAACAGTCACCTGAATTCTTCTAAATAAGTGAGACGCACGTGCTGTGCAAGCCGTTTGCTGTGGGTTATCAGTGTCATCAGGACATAGAAGTGTTTGTACAGAAGAACACACTGGATGGGCGTAATGAGTGCTTGATATTCTGGAAACACTCTCATAATAATCTGGCTCATCAAGCGATACATATACGCTATCTAGTGGTGAGAAAACATAATTTGTAAGATTTTAATTTCGTTTTGTTTCGAATTTTACGCAAAGCTACCAACGCGATATCTGCGCTAGCCGTCTCTAATATTGAACTGACAAACTACAGAGAAGATAGTCAACAGCGCCCTCTGCCAAATTTTGGGCTACTCCAATTTGACAATCACTCTTATAATGCCCCCACGGCTCCAAAGTGCGGAGATCGATTTTTTTTATGCAGCAATGAAACTCGAACCATAATTCAGTAATTTGTAAGAAATAATCTACGAAGTCAGCGTGCACATATTGATAACTTATACTTCATCAAACAAATAATTTACAATGAAATTAGGGTTATCTGCGCATAGCTGTCCCTAATTTTGTACTGATAGACCAGAGAAAAGGCAACTAGTGAATAACACCCCTCATCAACTCTTGTGTAATAAATAATGAGATTTGACCATCTCTCTTATAGCAAGCCCACAGCCCCAAAGTAATGAGTGCGATTTTGTAACTGCGAGCCACAAACCATGAACCGAGTATGATAACCGTGTAAGTGACACGTCACACAATAACAGTAAACATCATAGGATAGTCTAAAATATTGCTCCACAAATACATCTGTAAGTATGTATAGCACACAAGGCAATATATGTAGTAATAGTACATACAACAAAAGCACGTGCATACAATATAAGGAATGAAGACATTATACAACGAACAAGTGAACAACTGTCTGCATTAAATATCAACAGCAAAGTGATTTCAGAAATGATCATGAATAACATTTAACTTTATCAAGTTCACTTGGACTGACTCAACCAACAGCACCATTCAATCACTGAGACGCTGCTCTGGTGTCTCTTGACAAATTTCAACACCAACAAGGAGTGCTTATAAGAACAAGATGTGACTGGTCGAGATGGAATCAAGCAGTAAAGAGAGTTCAAGTTTGGATACCATATGGAAGTAAATCTGATGGATATATTTCTGTTTGAGAGGTTAGATGACTTCTGCAATTGATCCAATAAACAGTTTGTATTCAGAAATCAAAGCTTTACAGTCGATACTATCTACAAAAAGAAAAAGCGGCCAAAGCTTACAACATAGAGACTTTCTCTGCATTTAGCATCAAGTCAAATACCTTATTAAAGAATGTGACTCAATAATAATCATTGCCAGTTAATATGATCTGAGCTTTCAAAATGTGAATCCAAACTGCATAAAACATTTCTAGAGCAAGATTCGATTCCAAGTAAGTAAAGTCAAAACTGTTTGCTGCATTTCAACTGTTGCAAAACACTGGTCAAAAGTTCATCATTAATCATGATTTCAAGTTCTGAAATTAACGCTTAAACTGGGTATAATTTGTTTTGTGAGAGAGAGGTAGGTCCCTATATCCCTACGCCACTGATTTTAACTGTCTGCCTCATAAAGGTAAAATACATCCTATGATATTGGTGGTAGCCTATTATTATACAGCAGTTGCCTTTATAAGGTTATTGTTGTCAAACGGCGATTCAAGCTACAACCCTTTATTAAGTTATGATTGTCAATAATTTTTCAAATAAATTTCGAGCTTAAAAATTACAGTTTGAACACTGAAATCTGGCTTAGCATTTAATTTGAAAAGCAGTAGTACTAACATTCATACCAAAAATAACGTTAAACTACAGATTGTTTTTAAACATTCATTTTGGAAGAAGGTTTATAGTTTTAAATCACATTGCTGTTTTTATTTTTATTAAAAGCCGTCAGATTTTTATATAAACAAGTACAAGAAATTTTGTTATGATATCGTTTCGATGGGGCGTGTATTTATTTGATTTTCTTTGATTTATATGGTTCTATTGCATTGTTTAGTCGTTAGAAGAATATTCTATGACTTCTATCAAGTAATAATTAACTAGATGCAATAGTCGGGAACACATTGTGATAAAGAAGCAAGCTTGTAAAATACAGAATAAAGAGAGTATGTTTAAGTTCGTAGAACAGTAAGTGGTAAATTTCTTGTAAAATTCACAACCTTACAGAATAAAGAGAGTATGTTTAAGTTCGTAGAACAGTAAGTGGTAAATTTCTTGTAAAATTCACAACCTTACAGAATAAAGAGAGTATGTTTAAGTTCGTAGAACAGTAAGTGGTAAATTTCTTGTAAAATTCACAACCTTACAGAATAAAGAGAGTATGTTTAAGTTCGTAGAACAGTAAGTGGTAAATTTCTTGTAAAATTCACAACCTTACAGAATAAAGAGAGTATGTTTAAGTTCGTAGAACAGTAAGTGGTAAATTTCTTGTAAAATTCACAACCTTACAGAATAAAGAGAGTATGTTTAAGTTCGTAGAACAGTAAGTGGTAAATTTCTTGTAAAATTCAATCATTTATTGTTTTGTTATTATTCAGACATTGTTAACCACTTGCCAAAGAATCTTATCTATGATTGTGTAATTACATAATCACGGTCACCAGGAAAGAGTGAGGAGGCTTTGCTCGTCTTGTTTTAGCCTGGTGTTCCCTATCCTAGACTTAGCCCCTCTCGCAATCTAACAAGTCATAATGGCTTACCAGTCATTCCCAGAATTTGTGACTCAGTCATTACATAAATATTGTCATAAGAGGAAACACTGTATATTATTGTAAAGTTCTGATGACCTATTGAGGAGATATTTAAAATACCATTTCGATTAACAATTCGAGCCATCTCTACATAGGCAGTGCTACCGCCTGCCTGATGATGGCCTAGAACGACTAAACAATGTGCCATAAAATTAATAGTGATGACATGACATAAATTTGTATGATATTTTCAGAATGCATCATTCTGGTTATAACCTACAGAAACAAACAAAAAAAGAACAGAAGATCTTAACCAGCCCTCATTATGTCCATACTTACGGATGTTTTAGAGCTGGCCACTAGTTGAACTATCCAAGACAGGTTAAATGAACACTGCCGAGAAACAAGTTCCTTTCCCTAAAGAAACAGCAAACAAAGTTGTTTATATATATATATATATATCACATATAAATAACTGAGAAAAAATATTTATAGTAACTAAGTATAGTATGAATCTTTACACTCTTAATTGTCCAAATACACTCAAGTTTGATATTCGTTGAAGAGATGATCATGTCAAATCTAATACACAAGGCTTGTGTTCAATTAATCTGTAACTTTTGATTCAACCTGAGAATCTACCTAATGTTTGCATCATCACGAATAACAGAAGGGGATTTAGCAATATTTTTCACTTCAGGAATTGCTTTTACACACACATTCAGCCAAAATTAAACAGGCTCTTGTATTAATACAACATGTAAAAGTCTTCTCTCTAAAGTACATGTGAATTTAATTAATTATGTATAAATAGCCCCACTTCAAAACTCGTAGGAGGCACTTTATAAATGCTTTAATGTTGTTGTTAAAATTGTGCTACATCTATAAAATGTACATTCGAAAGCAATACATTTACAGTATCATAAGCTCTCGGTTGAAATTGTAAGAGAGAAACGTTTTTAATCGAATTGTTTTAGAGGTAGAACTGAAGTAAGGGAATCCCTGGAAAGTGTTCTTGATTTTTAATATCTATACTTCTTATTTTTTGTTTTTTACAATCCCTGATCAATAGATGAAAAACATTTCGTGATGATCAACTGACTTAAATATAGTCTAGAAATACATTATGAATATTACATCATAATAGGCATATACCTACACTATTTCTTATCTTGTAAATGTAACACTGTTCGGTTAGGTATTAATATTATGTTTTTTACGCAGCTAGTAGGAACAAAGATTAATATTATTTTGCCTAATAAATAAGTATTGTTAAATCGTAATATAATTAAAAATATTTTAACTAGGAATAAACGACCTAATAACCCCAAATTTGTTATTTTCTTTAATTGGACACTCAACGTTTTGCTTTACAGTTTCTTCAGGAGTGTTAGACTAAAACACAAACTGTAACTGACAGTACAAAGTTTCAACTGATATTTTAAAGTCCTTTTCATTCACTAAGAAAGTAGCCAAAAATAATTTAGGTGTGTGAATAATGTTATGACTTGTACCTAAATCATTATTTCATGTTATATATCGAACCAACTATTTAATGGTCATATATATATATAGGTCAGGATTTCTTTTCTTTCTCACCAAAAGTAAAATTGGAAAGAGAATCTGTGACGTAGAGGCCTAATGCTTTCCTTTATTGGCCGTACCCTTTGCTGTGGACTGCAGTTTCGCCTGTTCATGGTTCATCACCACAGCTTGGGTCAGAAACTAAAGAAATACAGTTAGGCCTCTTATAACAGCGATGTGTATGTGGCTGATAAAAAGCTCACATGTAATTCTATCCGCAGAATTATTTGAACGGTCCTAGTCCTTTATTTCAAATGTGCGCAATAGATATCGAGGATAGGACCAGTCTAAGATAAATAGTTGTGTATCGCATCGAGTGATTGGTTCTTTGTTCGCCTCATAACCAATGAAATGAGCTATCACATAGAATCAAGAGCGCGCCATTTGTTGTCAATCTAGTAAATAAGATGAGTTAAAGCTGTTCGGTATCTAACGGTTCATCAATATCAAAACAACCCAAACTGATAAAATAACAAAGTGCTGCAAAATATAATACTAAGTTCAATCCAGAATGGACAAAGAAGTACCCATGTATCGTGCCTGAATCGTCCAGTAAGAATTGTTTTCGATGCACTGTAACCGTTCAGCCAGCTGCAAGCACAAAGAACTGTGAGATGTTTAAAGAGACATTAATTCAAACTCTCACAAATACTTGACGAAGATAAAGTCATCATCCGGGACAATATTGAAACATTTGTGAGTCAGAATACCATCAGCGATAAAGTAAATATAACTTTCAAATGTAAAAAAAAATGTAGTCGTCTTTGCTTAGGTCTAGTCATATTGAGGCCGGCATACTACTTGATCATACCATAAGATACGATGTGTTGGGCGCAAGACGCAAGGGAAAATCCTGGTTGACACTGTCAACATTTTCGTTTTGGAGCATTTTCACAAAATTTCAACGTTTCAAAACTTGTCAGGTTATCTTAATATATGGCTTGAGAATAATTGATAAATGAGTAGATACTAAAAGTTACATCAGATTCATAGGAATCCAACAGTATGTCATATACAGTTAAATAAATATATTTCCGCGAAATTAAAATTAAGGCCTAGCTAGCATGAAGAAACATGCAATAGTGCTAATAGAAGCATGAATAATTACTTACGAAGAAGAAGAAGAAACTGTTGTTTAATACATGAGTTTTTTATCTTTACTTACAGAAAATGTGCATGAACTGTATGGTATGCGAGTTATAGAATTCGTAGACATATTAGTAAATATATGTATACTGCGTGTATATATTACATAATTTCAACATTCAATGTGAAAGGTGCTTTCTAAAAAAATCCATAGTTTTGGTGATGGTGTACTGTGGTGATTACATTTTGTATCAGTGCTTTTGAGTTGGTTTTATGAACAAATAGTTTACATACAGACAAGTAAAATTTTACATCTGGTCAATCATGTCAATGATAACATTTGAATTTATTTGCCTCCTGGACATTTTTAGAGTAGTTCTTCACTTTTGAGATTGTATTATTGGAGAGTGTGCTGGCACTCGTTATGTGCGGATAGCACGAACGCCCGTATTAAAGAAATACAAAAGACATCTGGGTTTTCTTCTCTATAGGCTACCAGAAGCTAGATACGAAGAGATACCTGACATATTGCTCTATCTTTGATGTTTGTGCCGCTTTTCGGCTATCCAGAGCGTCCCAAGGTCGAAAACAGGCGAATAGACATAACCGAGATTTCTTATTTTCGTTCATCATCATCTTTCTTCAACAAGCTAGTTAGTTCTAGAAGTAACTATAATTTTCGATCACGAGAAACCCACTTTGAGACTAATAATGTTTGACGACGGCTTGAATGGGTAATGAAGAAAATATTTAATATAAGTTTAACATAACAGCAAATGTACAACGTTTCGACAAGGTTTTGTCATCATCAGGTACAAGTAGTTTACACTGATACAGATATATATATATATATACAGTATGGAACAAAAAGGTCACATGACCGGATACTGTTGCAAGACTTAGAAGAGATATCTTGGCAGCCCAGGGAGATGATGATAGCATAGTTCCAAAAGTTGCCACCAGAGACCGCGTTGCTAGGCTGCCATGATAGATGATTATGTAATAGTATCACAAAGTAGAGAATGTGTTTCTAAACAACCATGACTTGTACAATACATGTCTCATCATGTCGATAATTAATCATTAATTAATTAAATCGTTCCTAAAAGGACACTTAATACCAATTAATTAGATCACTTATAATTAATTCATTAAATTATTTATAATTAAATTGTCATAGAAATGGAAGCTTAACACTAATTCATTAAAACAATTATAATTAAATCAAGTCCTAAAAAGGACATTACATTTCCTTATGACTTAATTAGTTCTATAAGGACAATACAATATTTAAAACTTATTCAATCAAGTAATTAAAGATTTTCAGTACTAATTTATCAATTAATTACATTTCCTGTCCAATAAGGACTATAAGGACGCATTGCTAGGCCGCCATGACATGTCTCATTATGTCGATAATTAATCATTAATTAATTTTATCATTCCTAAAAAGGACGATTAACTCTAATTCATTAAATCAACTATAATTAATTCATTAGATCAATTATAATTAATTCATTAAATCAATTATAATTAATTCATTAAATCAATTATAATTAATTCATTAAATCAATTATAATTAATTCATTAAATCAATTATAATTAATTCATTAAATCAATTATAATTAATTCGTCATAAAAAGGACGCTTAACACTAATTCATCAATTAATTAAATTTCCTGTCCTAAAAGGACTGTATCTTACTCAATCAAGTGATTACAGATTTTCAGTGATATAATAAAATGTCAAAAACAATATTTAAAGTAACATGATCACAATTATATACACTTTAAGACGCATACAATACATGTCTGTAGGTTTAAATCGGCATAAACAGGGCAATATCATACAATATTCGAAACTTTTACTAATTCGACTTTATGCAACAAAATAATTTCCACATGTTACTTTATCTCACATGGCCAGGTGGTTAGGGCGCTCGAGTCGCAATATGAGGGTCGCGGGTTCGAATCCCCGTCCCACCAAACATGCTCGCTCTTTCAGCCGTGGAAGCATTATAATGTGACGATCAATCCCACTATTCGTTGGTAAAAGAGTAGCCCAAGAGTTGGCGGTTGGTGGTGATGACTAGCTGCCGTCCCTCTAGTCTTACATTGCAAAATTAGGGACGGCTAGCGAAGATAGCCCTCGTGTAGCTTTGCGCGAAATTCAAAAACAAACAAACTTTATCTCAAGATTTACAAAGGCGGAACAAATTGAACAAAACAACCCTACTCTAAACCAACACTCCCTCAGTCAGCGTGGGGCGGCATCCTTTGAATGGTAAAGTGCCTTCCATATTACTTACATAACACATATTTAGAGAAAGTGCAATTAACCTTCTTTAGATAATACATTTCAAAGAAACCTACAAACGATTTCTTGATTAAAGAGTTTATTGTAACTGTAAAAGTATAAATAGCTTACTGGTCGTTATGTAGTACTGCAAATATTTGGAATAATAGATAAATTCAATAACGAACGTTATTGCACAAGTTATTCATTCATGGTTAGTTTCATAACATACACCTTATAGATACCTTGTTTCCTGTCCAGGTGTCCCATATGATTAATTTGCCATCTAAAGAACCCGACACAAGGTGTCTGAAAAACAAAATTAAAAAACAACTGACATATGTAAAATAATAAATATGACTTTCGGGACTCGTTAATTGACATTTTAACTCTGGACAGTTTATATATATATAACAATATATAATAACATATTATCTCCAAGGTGTTTTAAC